AGGAGAAATAATCTTCAGTGTACTGAGATGTGTAACTGCGAAGCGGAAGGGAGTTCCTGCAACAACATTCCATTGTTTTCTAGTGTTTCTGATTCATCAGACAGTGATGAAGAAAGTGATAATGAACTTTAGCATATTATAAAATCACTGATGTAGGTAAATATTAAGTAAATCACAGTATGTAATATGGTTACATAATACTAACACACACACCACCCACACATTATATATATATGTATATATAATATATATATATATGTATATATATATAATATATACATATATAAATATATATACATATATATATATATATATCAAGCTATTGCTGATTGTTGTTTTATAGTATGTTTTCAATATATATATACATATATATATATATATATATCATATATATTATGGTAATAACAATTAACAGCATATGGCAATTGCATATAATGAGCTCTATCACAGTTTTTGTACAGGTCGGTTATTATTATATTAATATGTATGCTAAAAAGCTAAAATAATGGAAAATGGCAGCCATTTTAAATGTTAATAGCTCAAAAATGTGTACAATATTTAGTTAACAGTTGCTGTCATTGTTATGAGTGGATTTCCAATTGAATACTGCATTTTAATGACATAAATTTACAATATTATTAGTGACAATTGTAGGAAAAAATGGCGGCCATTTTGAAACGGCTGGCAATCCCCCTTACGTATGAAAAAAAAAATGTTGCACATACTTTTTTGATTTATCTATGTCTACTCTACATCATATCCAATTTTTAAAAAATATAGCAAAAAAAAAAACAACCAACCAAAGTTTCCTGGACTAATAGCTTAAAACCTCAAAACAAACTGTTTACATAACCTATAAACCTTAATTAATTTAGGCAATGAAAAACCAACGATACGTACCATACGAGATTACCCAGTAGAATCAATTTATTCAAAATACTATACAGTAATTTAAACTTTATGGTATTTATCGGAAATAAACTGAATTTGTCAATACTAATAATAATATTTCATTCAAAAATACACAAAAGTATTAACCAAATTATAATATAACGATTTGCAGTTAAGTGGCTGAAGATAAGACTGTAACTCGCCAGATGAGCAAGCTATTCCATATTTGTGAATACTGTATTTCATTTCTTTCAAAAATACACAAAAGTAAACCAAATTATAATATAATGATAGGTCACATATAAATGAAATAATAAATTTACTGTAACTCGTCAGATGAGCAAGCTATTCCATAGGCCTATTTTTAAAATAAAAATGTATGATAAATACTAAACAAATAATTAAAGAATAAATTGAAATAAGTGTTACATTAACAAAAATATTAACAATATATTGCGGTATATTACATATTTAAACAATTTCAACAAAACCGTAAAAAAAAAAAAGAATTAATATATTACAAAAATTTTAAAATACCTTCTTTACAGGCCCCTTTATCAAAATTAAGATTTTAAGTTTAGATTATGGCCATAAAGTTCAATTTCAAGCTCATACACTTAAGAGATTATAATGCTCTAAAACAGGATTCGAACCTCGAACCTCTTTTTTGCAATCCACCCATCATTGCTAGACAACATCCACCTAATTTAATATTGATTTTGACTTCATCTAAATTACCTTCACTCACCCACAAGCATGGCAACACACTATGTTTGAAACCTAGATGCCAACTTTGCACCATTATCACTACAGACAGTTTATACCTGTCTCTTATACACATCTAGATGTGTATAAGAGACAGATATATATTCTAACTGGACTGTAGACATAGGCCTATATATATATCGTGTCTGTATTTAACATATTTCAATCTTTGTCAATCTAAATTCGAATGTACAGTATCGGTATGTCCTGGTCCCCGACCCTTTGAGGTTCACTTGGATAAGGCTCATCTTTTAATTTTGTTATTGTTAACCTCAATTTTTGTATTCCATATGTCAATAACTACAAGAAAAACACAATTTGTATCAAATACATCCAAAATTAGACAGTTTATTGATATTTTATGAAAAAATTTGCATTTTAGAAAAAGGTCGATGACCTTTTGAGCTCTAGTGACGTTAACAATTGTCGGAATAATTTTATTTAAACAGCATATGCTACACATTGCTACCAAAATAATATTGATGGGATTTTTAAATCACAGGTTATGGGCATAAATGTTTACTCCTCCCCCCAAAAAAAGTATTGACCATAAAACACTAACGACCATTACAAATGACGCGAGTACATACAATGCATCCCTATATTTTTCTTGTTAACATCAATTTTTTGTTTTGTATGCCCGTAGGAACAAAATGATACCAAGGAAGTTTAACTGTGGGGTGGGGGGGGGGGGGGGGGGGGGGTGGTGAACGGTGGCCCCACTCCAGCCCATGGCCTATGATTGCTTTAAATTACATCTTAATTAGTTGACACTTTTCATACCTAGTCAAGTTTTTGTTTATGTAACCCTCACTGTTTAAAAAAATTATAATATAAAACAAACGTAACAGTATTCCTTATTTATTCATTTACTTTGGTCGAGCAAGGAGGTATCACCTTTGGAACGGCGGCACGCACAAGAGTTTTGCTTTTAACTTTAATTATATAAATATCAAATTTTAACTAAATGTGAAGCACACATCTACACAATCACTGACATAATATGCAGATATAAAGAGATTAAACTGTAGGCCTAGAAACATTAAAACTACAATCCAATAAACAAAAAAGGTATGGGGTAACTGTAAATTGTATACATCCATCCTACTGAACATAGGCCTAGTAAGAGTAATTGCAAACATGTTTGTAAGGGGTCGCTCCCAAATATGATCTGTATGTTTGTGAAGATGTTGGCATTTTTTAAACAACCCTTTACAAAGTACAAGCAAATATTCAAGTTCCTGTACTACAACTTTTCAACAATAATAAAAATAAACATAATAAAAATTTGTTAATTGTATTATTATAGTATGCTTTGTTGACAAAATTTACTTTTGTTGGCGTAGCATACAGTTTTATCATGGTGGTGGTTTTATCTATTCTTATATAAAACGAACACTGCAAACATTTAAAGGCTACTGTATGTAAACAGTTTATTTTAAAGTTTTCCAGCTGGGTGATCTACGGTATAATTAAAATTCCAAATAGCCTCATTAGTCAGACCATGGGAAAAGGTCAGACACATCAAGGACTTTTGCTAAATAAAAAGTGAACACTTGGCACACGCCAAGTGTTCACTAAATGGTCAACGAAAATAGGCATTGGTTTTTTCGTTATATAATATATAATATTTTATATAATATATAATATTTTATATACTATATAATATTTTATATAATATATAATTTTTTATATAATATATAAT